CTTCCGATCGTTTTGATTCCATCGAGAACCCGGAATATCACGCATTGATCAACCATTCAACGACTAAAAAGATTCTCAGGATCTGAGAATCACAGTAGAGAAAGCAAACAGGGATTCTTCACCAAAACAGAGCATCTCCAAGTTCATGCTTTGTAACCCTCTCATGGAAAAAGAAGGATACCATACCAACAGCTACTCTTTCTGGGATATTCCTTTTTCACCCGTATAAAGAGAGTACAATGCAATCTCTTTATTTAACAAAAAATATACAGAATATTCCATAAACACTCGTTTATATATACATATACAAGTTCAATAAAGGCACATGCCATTTGATGATCCTACAAGCCTCCTATAGTCACATGCTCAAGCCGCTCCATTTATGATCCATGTTTCCAATCAAGCCGCGTAATTTCATTTAAAAAATGAAACTAAGCACTCCAAAGAATCATATTTTTTTTAAAAAATTATAGACTTTATATTATATTTTTCCCGGCGGAAATCTAGAGATAAAAGCCGAAACCAGATCTACACTCCATAGCCAAACACAAGAAAATTTATTTTTGAACAAAAAAAACCCAAGACAGGGAAAGAACTCTACTTTCTGTCACAATTTCTACCTTCAGATCTTATTAACGCTTAAAAACAACATCTTTTCCAGTTTTATTCCCACGGAAATTACTGCACAGAAAGTACCTCGATAGGGCTAAGCCTTCTGAGGAAGAACATATCAGCTGTTTCAGGGACGCCATTGAAGCTCCTTCCGATCTTACTGCAAGCCCCAGAATCCCTAATACACGACCTAATCTTCGCCCAGTACCCATCATCCGCGACCCGATCCTTCAACCAGCCCGAGTAATCCCCCAGATAGTAATCCAAATACCCCCGATTCAGCACGACCCGGCCCGTTCCCTTGTCGGTGACTGCGTAAGCGAAGATGATGAAGCCGATTAGGGCCGCGATCACGAAGATCATCACGAAGAGGTAAAACCACATGAGGAACTTGTTTCTGTAACAAGCTCCCGCGAATCCGGCAAGGGAGACGACCATGATAGAGATTCCGATTACGATGAGAGGCCATTGGAGGAATCTCAAGCAGTCTGTCGTGTTGGCTCTGCTGCTCAGCCAGATTCCGCCGCCCAGGATCGGGATCGAGAGGAGGAAGGTGAGGAAGTTCACCAGACCTATCAGATGGTTGCTCGTTCTCATGGCGATTTTTTTCCCGGAAGAAGGGAGATTTTTTTTTCTGGGTCTGAGCTGCACTGTTAATGCAGAGAGAAGGGGGGGGGGAGGCGATGGTGATGATGGATGGGTTTACATGTGTGCACATGCTGGTGGCGCGTGAGTTTTGAATCCTACGCGCTCCATTGCCGTGCCACGTGTCTTCTCGTTCCAAACCCGCATGAGAACTAAAAATAAAAAAAGATTACATTTGAGGCTTTTTTCAGGTTTTAAATTGTGATTTACCTTTTGCATCGTCATACATTATATTATATTATATTAGATATGATTGGAAATTGCATGGTTTTATTTTAAAATTAAATGAAAATAAAAGGGTACGTGTATTGTAATAAACCGGCTAATACAAGGAACCTATTCCTTGTAGTCATTGATAATTCTAAGGTCAATGCATTGAAACATATGAAAACTTGTGATATGTGTAACCCATCTCCCAAACCATATTATATATATATGTATGTAATTAATATTGTTACACATATAGCTTATATTTATATTTTGTTTTGTTTTTAGGGTTTTTTAAGTAACAATGATATAAGAACATAAAATAAAAATACAATAGATATGTATGCAGATAAGAAAATTTGTATGGGTGGAGCCACAGGGGTTGCATGCAAACAAAAATCCACCTAACGATATGTGTAAAATAAAGTTTGACCCCAACCGACCGACCAAAGGTCCCAAGTCTTTTGTCCTTTTCATTATTAATTTGTAACATTTATGTAAAAAATAAAATAAAATCTTTCTAATGGCTACAGCTACACTACCACATCCCAAAAAAAAAATTCATTACACACACCTTAACATTTGCTCTAAGAGTATATATATATATATATATATAGAGAGAGAGAGAGAGAGAGAGAGATTTTTGGATTTTTCAATTTTAAAAAATTATATTTATTTGAATTTCCCATCGAATTACTTGAACTTTAAAATTCTATTTAATTTTTTATATTCATTTTATAATTTGAATATGTTATCTTTATATTGAATTTGAATTACTTTAATTTTTGAAATACAATTTGATTTAATTCATTTTACATATTCAAATCATATATATATATATATATATATTTATAGATTTCATAGCACAGAAATAACGAGATTTGAAGGGATAAAGGGATCTTTTGTAATAAAAAATACATTTTATCACAAACAATCACACCTTATTTTTGTCTTTTCAATTATTTTTTACAATCACGTTTTACCAAAAAAAAAATCACACCTTATTTTTGCCTAACTAATTTTATTTTTAAAAATAAAAACTAAGGTGGCCCATGTGAATAATATAATTCGGAGCCCGTTTTAAACATATGGGCCTTCTTTTTACCAAAGGCTCGTATAATAATATACTAATAAGGCCCATATTATGGCGATGGTCGAGGCCCATTTAAGCAACCCGCTCGTGTGTGTGTAGAGAGAGAGAGAGGGTCAATTTGGTCAGAACGGTCGTGGTTTTCAAAAAATATCCTAATAAGAAAAATAAAGATTGGAAAGTAAAAATGAAAATGAAATCCATATTCTAGGACTCAAGCGTGGTAGGAATTTTAAGTTTTGATTTAATTATTTTTTATTTGAACAAAATATATGTTTAACTTTTGATTGACTGAGTTGGTGTTCTATTTTATTAATTAAAAAACAGCTATGTTATAACACTTTTAAATAATAATTATATATAAACTAAAATTGACTAACCTGATTTTAAACAATTTTATCCCATTAAATTTTAAATCAATTTTCTCTTAAAAAAATCATTTTCTTCCAGTAAACTTTGTATTTTTTTTTCCATTTTGAGCATCCTTATTATTTATAAGTACTGAAATAGATATATTTTTGAATTTTAGTGGAAACATAATGAAACTTCCCAAATGCACTGAGAAGAAGACAGCTAAAACCTTGCAGACCAATAAGGACAACCATTATCGTTAATAATAACTAATAAAATAAGAAAAAAATATTAATTTTTAATAACATAGATTACAATCTATAAATCAAAGTAATTTCCAAATTTTATGAAAACATCAAAAGAATCTGTAAATTTTATCAAGTCGTATAATTCTAAATTAATCTAGTTAACCTATCATCATCAAATTTTAGCAATATAATAATTAATTTAATCAATAAACGCAATGCATAACTAAAGATTTAATTAATTGTTTAGAAGAATTGAGGGCTTTGTTTTGTTTTTAAAATCAAATTGCATCGGCGTTAGATTTCAAGTGTCTGAAACCGAAATAAATTTGAACAATCTGACCTGCTCCAAAACGACAAAGTTGTACTCTTTGTCGCTCTGCGTTTTGGAATAATCTTTTGTTCTGTTTTTTTTTTTTGAAAAAATTGGTTTCTCCTCCGTTCTTCCCACTGCCCAAAGCCAACAAATACCCACTTCTCTCACATCTCACACTGTTTCTCTTGGAATCTGTGAAGTAATTTCTGAAAAAAAAAGGTAAAAGAAAAAAAAAGGGTTACTTCTGAAATCTCTCCGGCTTCCACTTTCTTGAATCCATGGTTGTTCTTTAGCTGCCTTGTTCTCCTTCTTCTCCAACATCCTCTCCTGGGTTTTTGGTGTGCTCCAGAAAGAAAGTTCATCAGACCGGTTTTGCAGTGTAAGGAGCCTCTGCCCTTTGGAACTTGGTTATGATAATCTCTTTCCATGAAAAATCTAAAACACCTTGTTTGGTTGCCGAGAAAATGCCGTAGCTTTCCGAGAAAAGTAGGCCCTTTTGCATCTTCTCTGTTTCTTTGGCGTTTGAGTTTCTGGGTTCGATTCGTTTGGCAGAAAGTTCGAGTCTTTTTGTTTTCCTTCTCATCTTCCTTTTCCAGTTCCAAAAGTAGAGCTTTTTTTTTTTTTTTAAAGTTTACTACCCTCACAAGTTGTGAATTTTTGGGAACAAGAGCTGATTTCAAGTGATATAAAAAAGAGTGGGTTTTTGTCTCCAGTTTCTTGGAGCTTCTTGGACCTTCTTGGAGCTTGAGATCTCCAGTTTCTCTCTGTCTTTTTACCTTCTTCTTAATTTTTTCGATTCGAGACAGTTTTAGTGTTGCATTGTATCGCTTTTGTGTTTTGTCTCTTGAAACCCTCTTTTGAGAGATGTTTCTGTTTTAGTTAGATGTTTTTTTAAGGTTATACGTTGTAAAGTCTCTACAGAACCTCGTTTTCGCGTGTTCATGCTTTGCTTTAACTACCGTGATTACGCTAACCTTCAACTGCTTATATAATATTTTCCTGGAAAATCTTTTCCCGGGAAACAAACGGATTTGCTTGTTGGCTTGTGGCTTTTCAGCGACAAAAACAACAAAAAGGCCTTCGAGCGGTATTAAATCTGTGTTACCTTTAGTTCCTTTTCCTTCTCTTAATTATAGTTACCCTAATTCCTTTTGACCTTTTTCTAGATTTTACCGCAAAATCTTTAACCCTCCATGTTCAACGTGAAGTCCCCTCATTTCACGGCAATAATGGGGGAGGAGAATAAGGGAACCTTACCTTCTGAAATGACATTTTTGGCCTTTATACTATCGTTCTAACTTTACTTGTGGCGTGGACGTATACGTAATCTTACCAGCTCATGCTTTTTCAGTAGATGTAGGACCCTCTGGTAAAACAGCCTTGATGATAATAGGCCATCAACATATTCAAGATTCCACCTTTATAACTTCGTTTAGTCAAATTAATTGACTTTAAGCATTGGTTGCAAAGGTGAAGAGGAGCGGATTTCTCGTGTGTCTCTTTGATCAATGGAGAAGAAAATCTTGGCTATGCATTCTGGGTAAAGATCAGTTAGTAGTGATGGTCTTTGTGTGGTTCAAGTCGCTTGAGGGCATTGTCCGAATACAAGATTCATTTTCTTGACTTGTCCTAATGAATAAGTTGTCCGTCTCATTTTTGTCATTTCCAGACATTTATGTATTCTCCTTTGTGAAGCCTTGTAGACAAGATTTTTCATGGTTTTGATATCAGTTTATGGTTATCGAATACCAGACGTTGAATCATGAAACAATATGGTAAGGACAACCCAAATCTATGCTGTAGTATACAAATCAGAGTCTGTTATGTGTTAAGGACAACCTAAGTATCAACTGTGGTGTACAAGTCAGAAGTTAAGTACCATAAAAGAACTTTTGTTGCTTCCTTAAGATGTTCTTTTTCTGGTAATGAGTTTGATTAGATGCTAAAATCATTACCCTTAGCCTTTTTGGTCCCCTTTACACATGGTATGGAAGATATGAGTATCTTTAATTCTCTTGTATTAAATCTCTTCATGTTTTCTCTGCCATTGGATTCTTGCGGTATCTCCATCTTCGTGGCATTAAATTTCCCTGTTCTTTCACAGGTCTTGGTGGGTCACACGGGCATTGAAGAAACCGAAAGCAGGAAATCTCTTCTTTCCTTATAACAAGGTTTATCGCCCTGTGCCTCTGTGGGATAAATATTACAGTATGCAGACCCAAAAAGCTAGGTAATCTTGATTTTATCTTGTTGCTTCTTTTATGTAGTTTTTCTCTGCATTTATGGCTGAGTTTTCTTGGTTGGCCAAGTTTCTGGGTTTGTTCCTTTCCATGTGTGATCTTACCAAATCTTAGTCTTGGAGGTATATGTGGTGGTTGTTCTTTGAATATTTATGTTCTTCTTCTTCAATAATCAGAGCCCATCACAGACTTTTGTTCTGGTGATCTGTGAGTCCCAAAGGACTGAAATTTCGATTCTCTTCTTCTTCTATTACAGTTTTGGTACTTGGACATGAATTTGGTATATCTTTCTTTGGTTCTGTTCTGTCTTTTGCAGAAATGGCTCTCCAGATGTTCCCAAGAAAGTCTCTCCTCGAGCTGCTCGGCCATTGAAGATAACAGGACTAGACCCTGACGCATCTTCCCCTGTTCCAGCCTGTCACAGAACACCAAAAGACAAAAGCCCCAAGTTTCCAGATCGCCGTTCTCCACGAAGCCCTGCCTCTGAGGTATGTTCTCGCATCTAAGTAGTGAGATGAGAAGGCTTTGGATTCAGTCTGTCGATTCTTGAACGTGTTTTTTTCTTTTTTCTCTCAAACACTGGGGATGTGGAAATGGGCAATACATGCACTGTCTCCATCATCCTTTTCTTACTTGTCTCTGTGAGCATTTAAGGGAGTTTCTGTTTCCAACATTTTCCTGATGTCCAAATTTCAGAAGCCCCTGTCTTCATTGTATGATCCAAGATGATGTTTTTAAATGCATCTATCTTTTTTTTTTGTGTTGGTTCGATGAAGATGGCTTGCATTCATTTGGTTTTATGGGTCTCTGGTGATAGAATTAGGTGGACTATTTATTCCGGGCAGTTGAGAGATGATACATTCCCCATCGATCATTCAAATCGACTAGTTGGTGAATTTTTCAACGAGGATATATATATATCTCTAACGCTTCTTCTACGTATCTATGCTTCTTTCTGGCAGAAGAAGAGGCCGAGCAGGATTACCGAGTTAGAATCTCAGGTCCTTCAGCTTCAGGAGGAGCTCAAGAAGGCGAAAGAGCAACTCACATTGTCTGAGTCGTTGAAGAAACAAGCCGAGCAAGAAGCTGAGGACTCCAAGAAGCAACTGTTTGATGTTTCCTCGAAGCTCGAGGACACCCGGAATGAAATTCTGAAACTTTCAGCTCCGGAGGAGGAAGAAGTGGGCGTGCTCGAATCCCGAGGTTTCTCTCAAGAACCCAATCTGCATCTTAATGGTAAAGAAAGGGAATTCACAGCCGATGAAAAAGCAGCATTGGCAGCCGCTGTTCACGAGATCCGGCAATTCAAGCTGCAGATTGAGATGGTGGCTTCTTCTGGGGCTGGTCAGATGAAACAAGCTGAATTACTGAACTCAGAGATTCAACTCTTGAGAGGGAACTTGATGGAAACGCTTTTCCTCGTCGAGAATTTCAAGAACCAGCTAAGGGACTGTGAAGTTTCAGAGGCTGAAACCGAGGCTTTAACAACTGAGACTCTTAGGCAACTGGAGAATGCTAAGAAGACAGTAGAGGCATTGAGGTCAGATGGATCAAAAGCAATCGAGAGTTACCAAAAGATGGCTTTGGAGCTGGAACGATCAAAATCACGAATGGAATTGCTCGAAGAACTCGTGAATAAACTCCAGGTGGATTCAGATCACGTTGAAATCCACGAAATCCTACTGAAGTATGGATCGAGTAAAGAACAGGAGGAATCAAATGAGCTAAGGAAGGAGTTATTGAGGTTAAGAGCAGCACTAGAAGCTGCCGAGAAAAAACACGAGGAGAATAACTTCAATGCTTCTCCTCTGTTAAAGATACAAGCCGAACTCCAGTCCGAGTTAAAGATGGCGAAATCCGAGATTGAGGGGCTGAAGGCAAACTTAATGGACAAGGAAACAGAGTTACAGTTCATCTCAGAGGAAAATGAAAACCTTCGCCGGAAACTGGAGAAAACCCAGAAAGAGACTAACTTTGAAGCTGAGCTGAAGAAACTGAGGGAAACCATTGAGAACCTGAAGGCGGATTTGATGGATAAAGAGACAGAACTACAGAACATAAACGACGAGAACGAGTCGCTGAAACTGGAAGTCGGTAAGAAGGACAAGGATGGTCAAGACAGTCTTGTGAAGTTAGGGCTTGCAATGGAGGAGGCCGACAAGAACAGCAAGAGAGCTGCTAGGGTTACAGAGCAGCTAGAAGCTGCTCAAGCTTCAACCTCGGAAATGGAAACCGAGCTAAGAAAGCTCAAAGTTCAGTCGGATCAATGGAGAAAAGCAGCCGAGGCAGCCACTGCTATGCTTTCTGCCGGAAACAAGGGAAAATTCGTCGAGGATTACAGCCAAACGAACTCACCCTACTCCGAGGAAATCGATAACGACTTGGGGAAGAAGAAAAACCCGAATGTGCTCAAGAAGATCGGTGTTTTATGGAAGAAATAGCCCAGAAAAGGAGTTATTTTACCGAGCAGGTGAATTCAGCTAAAGTTTCAAACTTTCTGCCATAGAACTTGCCGTATTGCGTAAAGGAACAGTTTTTCTCGTTGCCCATCTAGGGTTTTTCTTCTTCTTCGCAGGTACTTTCCGCCATGGATTCAGATGTGAAGAAGAGGGGGGATTCTTGGTTTGAATGTGTGGTTCTTCTGAAGACATGTTCATAGATTTGAGGACTGTTAAGGTTTATGTTACTGCTCAGAAAGACTTCTTAGTTTGAGATACTGTCCTAATTGTTGGGTCTCAGATCTTTTGTGTTAATATTTTGGAAGAAATTCTCGCGAGTGCCCTCATGGGATATTTTATATGGGCCGGTAATGGGCTTTCCTAGTACGCCCAATTAACTCTTATGAAATGTTGCACTCTCGAAAAAATGAGAACGTGTCAGGCCCATTTTGTAAAACGGTTTTAAACATCAAGATCTGATATTTATTTATTAATTATATGGTTATACTGGTTTCATGTTAGATTATTTAAATTCAAAATATTGATACCAATGTTATTAAAAAACTATATATATATATATATAGATATGCGTGTGTATGTGTAACAGTATGACAGATTGCCGTGTGTATGGAGATGTTATCTTCATAAGTTATAAGTCAAAAGGAGCCGACAGCCGCAAATTCAAAGACAAAAGATAGTCTTAATATAATTCCGACATTTTGGATAATTAAAAAAAAAAAGAGAGAAAGAGACTTAATTTAATTACAAAGATGAGTTAGTGGGAGTAGGAGACGTAATACTATGAAAAAAAATATCAATTTGGTTTTATTTGAGAAAATTCTACTGATATATAAATTAGATCTATATATATAATATAGTTTAAGATTTTTTTTAAAAAAAATTTCAAATCCAAGTGAGGATCTTGTCACGCCCGAATCTTCTAAGTTGGATTGCGTTCGTACGTCGTGTTGTGAAAACGAGGTCGGTCCATGCATCGCATGCTCGCACATCTCTGTATATATATATATATATATGTACACACACATATATATATATATATATATATATGTCTGTGCAGTGCATATATATGATTATATATTGTTATGTTATTATTTCATTTTCGTCGGGATACGAAGAGAAATCCCGTCATCATATTGAACCCTATATATAATAAGAAGCCTCGAAATATTAAAATTATAATTATGTTAAATTAAGATCATCACAACAATGTTTAAGAATACTAATGTTTTTTGAGAAAAAAAAAGAATACTAATGGCGGACCCATGAATTCGACCCCAATTAAAAAAATTTAATTTCCCTTGTAAATCTTATAAATTTGTAAATAAAAATTTGTAGATATATACACACACGTATAATGTATGTGTAAAGCAACTAACAACCGACAGATTTTATTATTATTTTTAAATTCAAAATATTCTCTTATTGGAAAAACAAAAAGGTTAGGTTAGGTATGTGATCTAAGTCTCTAATCATCAATTCGGTCTCATTCACGCCACCCAAAATTCTATACACACAATGCACGTCAAAAATTACATGTTTACATATATATACATGGTTTGAAATCAAATAAATTTATCTAGGAATTATTTTGGATTTCGATCGGTTAGATTTCATATTAGGTGAAAATTCTGACTTTTGTAAATAGATTTTTGTTTTATTGGATTTTTTTTTGTTTATTTTTCATGGTGGATTTTGATTCAATTATATTGGTTCTAACAAAGTTATATATATCTAACTTTTCATTAAAAAAAATTTATATCGGACCGTTTTTAATGGTTTTAAAATTGTTGATTAAAATAAAGAAAAACAAAGGGAATGGTTTCGTTTGAATTTTGGACCATTAATCAACATACGAAGAAAAAAAAAAACAATTAAAAAAAAAAGGAAATAACCCCCCATTCCCCAATTCCCAACCTCTGAAACTCTTGAACAAACAAACCCTAATATACCATCTCTATCCTTTCTTGAATATCACAATTTACCCCCAAAGAAATGAAAATGAAAATCCAAACCCTAATTTTGGACCCATAATTGGATTGATGAATAAAACTACATTAAAGCACCGCTGTTAAGCAGTCCATGCCAAGCATAGCTTGTAATCCCTGGATCAGTTTGATGATCACTAATTATACCTCCCAAGTTCATCACCCCTCCATTCATCTGCCATTGATGGTATCCCCACAAGGCCCTGTTTGGATCCTCATCCAAGCCGCCGGTATTCGCGTTTCCAAACGCTATTCCTGCGTTCTCAGCAGCTCCTCCGTTATAGCTCATCCCAAACACGCCGCTACCGGAATTCCCTATAACATCGTCAAAAGAGCCTCCGAATTCGGATGGAAACCCTAGCTGTGACCCAGGTGGTTGCTTGTGAAGCAAGGCAAATGCAAGCCCTAGGTCAATTTGATCGCTGTACGACCCACCAAAACTCGCCGTATCGAGCGCTTTGGCGTCATGGGTTTGATCAGGAGCGGCCCTTAGCCTTGCCGATGACGCGGAAGAGGAAGATGAGCGCTTGTTTTTCCGGCAGCCGCCACCGACGGGGATGTTCCTTAGGGTTCCGCCTTTGGTCCAATATCTCCGACAAGACTTGCAGAAGTAGCGAGGCTGGGAGAGGCTGTAGTTGTTGTAGTAACAGAACTTTGTGTTCGCGGAATCGCAGCGAGGGCACTTCAGAGATTGCTCGGGCGGCTGCGGCCGCTGTTTCTTCTGCTGATGATGGTCATGCGTCTGCATCTGCGTTTGCGGGTTTGAGGAACATGGTGATACACTGCTCATCATGGGCTCTCTTGCTTTGTAATTCCCAAATAGCTTCTGAAATGTATTACAAATCAAACATCATAAATTTTGGAACGAAAGAATGCAATGGAAAGATTTCAAGCCATTATTCATTAAATGCAAGTAGAAATGTGTCTGCAGATATACCTGGTGGTGCGCAGAAAGATCCATTTCAGCTTCTATGAAAAACTCTTTCAATGATTATATAAGGGGTGTGTGTATATATATGTATATTGTGTATATGAAATGGAGATTGAAGAGAGAGAGAGAGGTTGTGGAAAGTGAAGCACAAGGAAAAGCCAAGCATCTGCGTGTATATATACAATGCAATGTGAGGGGAGAGAGAGAGAGAGAGTGTGAGTGGTGCCTTTCATTCCATATAATATTATTTTAATATTATTATTATTATTATTATTATTATTATTATTATTATTATTATTATTATTATTATTATTATTATTATATAATTATAGCATGAGGAATAACGTGGAGCACTTGAGACATCATATGGAACAGACCATAAAGCAACTGATTTAATTCTTTTAAAAAATGACCTCACACTGTAACTCTATATAACAGATAATACAAACATATAATAATAATAATAATTAATAACGAGTATATTAATTCTACACACAAATAAAAACATATGGAAAGACGACCGTTGGTGATTCATCTAAAAACAAAATTCTGTCATATATAATTAAAGGGTAACAAAATACACAACGTATAGATAATTTAAAATTCTATTATTATAGAATATAGTATCGAGATGAATTTGGCTTTGTGTAATCGGAATTAAACAACAATTTATAGATCTAATCATCCGTTCCCACATTAATTCAATCGAAGCCTTAAAAATAGATAAAAATGAAATCCCATCTCAAGATCCAAACATTAAATTATATAAATGATACGATTGTTAATAAAAATGATGATAATTGGGAGAATCTTAAGGAAGGGGACAGAAGGGGACAATGATTGAGAATTGGTGGGCGTACGATGATGATCGTTCACGCTCAACTTCACCCATATCCATTCCATGTGTCCTTTAACTCGCTTGTTCTTTTGCGGATGACCGGTGAGTCGTCTCCACGTGGGACCCACTATCCCCTCCCGCGTGTCTTACACCGGGCCCCGTATGGTCCCCACCTCCACTTCCACCAACCAAGACATCTATTTTTGGGCTTTATTTATTTGTTTGTTTTTATAAAACATATATTATAAAAATTCGATGCATTGAGATTAATTGGTTCGATATTAATTTCTGAAAGCCGTACAAGTACAAATTATCTGCCACCATCCCATTTTTTTTTATAACCAGGATGCTACTCGTACCTTTGATCTGATTACGTTCACCATATACCCGTGACCAACTTTTATATATAGACCATTTTGATCCGTAAATTACATCCCTCCCCACCAGTAGAATCGAATCCGGGACTTTGAGGATGTCGGCCGAATAAATCTCATGCCTTTGTTTGTTAGCGAATCTAAAACTTATACATTTTTAAGTAGAATTGTGTGTATATATATATATATGTTGTTGAATATGAAATACTATTATTATTATTTTATTTGTATTTTTATTATTAGTCATTCCAATCAAAAAATTCTAGAATTCCTTCATAATAAAAAAAAATGACGACATAATTATATATAATGATTATATACAAGTATCTATAGTTTATTATTAACCATTGGTTTAAGATGCTAGTTAGTTATATTTAAACATTGGCTAGATGCTGGATGTGTATTTTTTTTTCTCTCGATTGTTTAGGATTAGTTCTAAAATGCGATCATAATATGAATAGAAATATCATATTAATTAGAATAATATTTTTCAAAGAAATTAAATAAGAATAAACAGGCGAGAGAGTAGGAAGGAAAACACAGATTTGGTTGGACAGTGTGTAGAGCCATGATGTTGAATTATCCCTACAAAAGCTCGCAGAGAGACAAACACATCGTTTTTCGAAAAAGGAAAACTAAAGAGAATGTGACAAGGAACAGATACGAAAACCTCAGATTTGGTCTGAAAAAGCATTAGTATTCATATATATATATATATAGGTTAAATATCTATACATATTTAACGTTGGGTTTTGTGGATATTAATCTACGGTATATATTGGGTACGTACGTAGAGAGTGTGTATTATATATATCTATATATACATTTCCCATACACAATACTGAATATTTAACATGACAAACACACACACGCGTATGTATCTATATAATATATGTATATAATATAATATGTGATTTGATAATTTTCATTAATGAACATCGGTTTCTTTGATCCCATGCAAATAATTACTAGCTAATTAGTTATGTACGTAATGGCCACATAGAAGCGAAGACACGTGTTAAACTTCGAGTATCCTTCACTTCACGTTATAGATACATATATATGTATATACACACTTTTTTGGGAATGCTTCGTGCCATATATGGTAGTAATAAATTAATATCGATACTGAATGATAAATGCGCTTTTACTATGATATATATACCGTACAGAAACTGTGTATATATATATATACGCACAATGATTGTGTATTTATATGATCATGCAACGAACGAAGGCGCATAAGATTGTTTTGCATTTGTCATTGGGGGTCGGTCCTAGAAATGAAAATATTTGTTTAATGACATAATTAAAATGTGATGTTGTCAAATCCAATCAAAGAGTGGGACCAAGCGGCAAAATCGTGGGAATGGAAGTGTTGACCAGTCAAATTTTGAGTTGGAGGAAAACGACAAAAGGTAAAATGTTGTAATTGGGACACATACATTAAAAAAAAAGATGCTAAAGTGAATCATATAGGAAACTGTGTCCATTGAGATCCGCTGTCGCCACCCATCTTCTAGCTATGATTATATTTTAATTTTTTTATTTAGAATTTTATAAAATTTATATTTATTTGATTTTTTAATTTCCCATTCGCTTTGTTTCTCAAATAAAAAATTTGAATCTATTTTTTATTAGAGAAAAATAATTTTATTTAACGTTTCTGAGCATTATTATATTTATTTTGAATTTCAATTTTAAATTGATACATTATCAAATTCTAATCATACTCGTTTTGAATACGTCGGTATTATTTCGTTAGGTATTATTAAGAAAACCCCGAAAATACAACGGCGAGGGACCCATGTGCCGGGTAATGGATGGACACGTGGCGGAGAGTGAATATATATATATATATATATATATATTTGTGGATTTCGAGGAAAGAGAGAATCAGCAGACACATACGGATCCCACAGCAAGTGAGAGGCTCTGTCAAAGACTTCGGCATGTGGTAACAACCCACTCCCCTCTCCCACTTTTTTTTTACATTTTTTTATTATCTAACTATACATTATAATATATATATATATATATATATATATGCATGTATGTATGTATGTATGTATTGCATCCATGTACGCATGTATGTATCTATCATCTATTTATGTGTATAAATTATATGCAGCTGTGTGCATATGTATGGGGGTATTGTGTAACGTTATCTGCTATAACACATGCATTCAAACTTTTTTTTCTATGAAACTTTTAAAAGAAAAATGTCCGAACTTAATCTGCTATTTTGAATTATTTATTTTATCCTATACGTATCATCTTGTTATTTTATGCCTTAATCATCATACGTTTCTCGCAGAAATTGTAATGGGTATTATAAAAAAGGGAATGGTACGTAGGAAATGAATTCCAATAAATTTTTGAAATGTATAACGAATTAGGTTTACCATGAGATTTTTATATTCGATTTATTTATAATAGAACAAATCTAAAAAATTATTCTCTAATATGAGAACCCGGATATTAGAAAAAATATAACATGTAAAATCAAAATATTATTGTATAGTAAATTATTAATGGAATGAAAAGTTATTTCTTTATATATATTTTTTTGTTTATTTCTAAACAAATGTGGCGTTAATTCGTATTTTAATTGCAATGACTACGCGTAAAACGAATATATTTTTAGGAGTTTTCTAATGAAAGATAGAGAGGATTAAATAAATAAATATTTTGATATAGAGACATTAAAAAAATGTTATGTAGAGGACTTTATTGAGAAATGGAACACAATTTCCAAATGGACCCACCATTATATTCCAAACTCCATCTTCAAGCAAAGCATCAAAACGTAGATTCCCATGCACCTCTTCTTATTTTTCAATAATCTTAGGCTCCGTCTGTCTGTCACTTTTCGCGTTTCCAAGATTGCTACGAATACTATTTGTTCCTTTTTTTTTTAATTTGAAAAAGCAAACTACTTTTTTTTTTTAATGGCTCATTAGAAACTCATACCTCAAGGGTAACACGATGATATTCATATTCCCGTTTGCAACCATTTCTCACCATGTCTACATATACACCACCACCCTTTTCATGTAAAACTGTTCCAAGGCTCTCTCTTCTCTATATGGATGAAGAACTAACTACAACTCCCCCTACTAAGAATCTCATTCACCAACAAAACCGGTTTGTAGTGAGGATACACACCCTGCAACCAAATGAAATCAGATGGGAGACATAATCTATCTATCAATCTATTTATTTTGAGGAAAAAAAAAAAAGGTTTTACCTTCTGAGCTGCCCTTTGGATCATATCTCTTGGAGAAGAGCAGTACTCAGTATGATTCCCCATCACATCTTCCAAACAGAGGATGTTTTCCGGAGCAGAATTTTCACATCCCGAATGTTCTGTTGTTATACAGATGATCCCCGGAACCGGGCATCCGGAATCTGGATTCGTCAAAACCGTTGTTATAGAGGTTGCTGTTAAATCCCGACCGTTGATCACTCCTCCTCAGAAGCTCTTCCGCCATGCCGAGACTGTTTCCGCCCTGGGCTTCATTATTATTCCACCTATTATCCCAGACACCACCACCATTAGACAACAATGAATTCGGAGACGGCTGTCTATTAGGTAGCAGCTGAGGAGATAAACTAGTTCCCTGCGTCTGATCCATTAGCCTCGAACCCATCCCATATCGATCCTGATATCCATATTCATGGCTCTGCATCAACAGCTGAAGCCTTGGATCGTTCTCAAAGCCTGCACTTTCCAACCCACTATGAAGTCTTCCTCTCCCAACAGCTAAAATTGCAGGATCCATAAATTCAATATCCGGATTTACACTTTGATATGTATTCCTCAACAAAGAGGTCGAGTCATGCAATCGAGTTCCTGCAGCGTAACAAGCATGTGTAAGATTTCTATCCCATCCAGCAATTCTGTAAGGTACAAGAAGGAAGAGTTACCTGCAACAGCATCAGAAGACCGGTCCACTCTTTCATGTGAAGAGAAACCAGGAGGAGGCAATCTGCTGGGAGCAGAAAATCCGGGTGGAGCAGAAATTTGGGATCTTGACGCTGCAAAAAGGGAAAATGGTAAAAAACAAAAAACAAAAATTCTCACTCAAATAACAAAATATTTTGTGGGCCAAAACGGATGACAGAAAAAAAGGACAAAGCATATGAATACTAACCAGGAATCTTGTAAGAAGGGAAGGTGGGACTAGCAGAAGCAAAGGTTTCCAATCTTTCAGAATAATTTGAAGCAAATCCATTTCTGCTCACCCCAGACTCCTGGAAGGCAGGCTGATCTCTTGGCAATTGCCCGTAAATGCCATATCTCTGGCTTTCAAGAGCTTGATTATAATGTTGCGACGTTAGGAGATTAGGTTCATCCTGCCGAGCAAAAGAGAATCTGGACTGACTGTTTTGCTGCGGCTGTAGGAGGTTCGGAGGCTTAAGAGAACTAGCTCGCTGATCACCTTGACCGAGCAACTTTACCAAATCCTGCGGTGAGGTCAAGGATTCATCCCACGGATCAAAGTCGAGAGAATAAATGCTTGAGATTATATCATCCTCTGCATTCTGAATTCTATTTTGGCCAATGAGTGAATGCTGTACACTGGGCATGGATTTCTCTGCAAATCCATTTGGTGAAAGTAATGTGTTGCTACCTCTACTTCCCAAGAATGAATCAGCATTCAAAGTTAAAGCACCAGAAATTTCACCGACTGGGGAAGCACCGAAAGCCAAATGATTTGGGTTAGGCAATGAATGGCTTACAACCTCTCCAACATTTTGTCGTCCATCAAATGATATGACATCCTTGACTTCTGATTTTGATCTAACTTGCATTTGCGGTTGTGAGCCTGACCTCCAACCCGACTCTCGGCTCACAACAGATTTCTCATCAGTTCTCATAGGAGGATCCTTCCTACATTGCTCCGCTTGTGGCAACTTCGATACTTCATTACCAGGTTGTCTAATAGAACCTTGATCAGAATGAATATCGAGAATTGCCGGAACATGAGGATGGTCATTCTTAAAATTAGTAGTTATCCCCATCCGAGCAACATCAGTAGACAAGTTGCTTACACTAAGACCATCTCCAGCAATTCCTTCCGTATAATCCATAGAATTCACAACAGCTGAAGGCTCATTCATGACTCTGTTATCATAGGAAGATTCTACTGAACTGGATTGCTGATTGCTAGTAAGATCTCTATCAGGTGAATTAGCTCTGTTATGCTGCAAAGACTTCAATGTTCCAAGTTCACTCATTCTGACCACTGTTTGACTTTCTTCTTTGCGAGATGGTTGCTTAGCTGCTTTCACAACAGCAGCAGAAACCAATGTTCCATTTTCCAACGTAGTTCTTTCTTCATCACAAGATCCTTTTGATGTAATTGTTGCTGCTACAGACTGCTGATTCGGTACACGTGTTCCCCTGCAAGAAAATTTCCAATTTTGTCACTAGGGAACTTAACATAGACTCCGACAAGAGACAAAGAAGGCTTACCATGACGCTGCAGCAGGAAGAGCAGTGGATCTACCAGAGCTCCCATTAGGTGGAGAACTCTTGGGAGGACTTGTTGCTTTCTGCTCAGACAAGTTTAAAGGAGAAGTAATTGTTAATCTTACACAGTATCGACTGTAAACATAGTACCAAAACATAATATAAAAGGTAAATTTAGTAAAACGTTTCTAGGGAAATCTTGGGGTAATCTGCACAACAAGTTTACAGCGAGAATAGACAAGCTCAATTCAATATTGACTACAACAATGGCAGCAGAAGAGCACAATGCATAAACATTAGAAAAACATAACTCTCTCCAGAATAAATCCTAAAATATCAAGGGAAGTCAGATACTTACAGAAGTCACATTTGAAGGAACGTTTACAAATGAATTTGCAGCAGAACTGCTTCCACAATAATCATCCACCGGTGGAGGAAGCACGCTCCCTGAGCGACGTAGCGGATTATATGTTGCCCCGGTGATTTGTTGCACTCTACTCCTTCAAAATTACTATAAGACTTAACTAATCATTCAGAAAAAAAAAATCAAATCTGCCACTACACTACCTGTATTTCTCTAGTAATTGAAGCACAATACACAATGAGTAAGGGAGAGATAAAAATATATGACGGAGAAGGTACCTTGAATGGGCCGATATGACCTCATCTTTTGTGAAGCTATCCTCTTGACAACCAATCTCATGTAAATAGAGACAATCAGGATTGTTGCAAGGCTGAAAACACCCAGACCGTCAACCAAACTTCATCCATTTCAATTTCAACTCAAAAGAGGAAAAACAAAACTACAATTGAGAAGGAGAATTCATCTAAACACGAACCACATTTCTCAACCATGCATGGCAGTATTTGGTTGTCCCAAAACAGGCTCTGCAGTATATAAAAACACACGTATTACCATTATGTGAATGAAAATAAATTCAAAAACTTGCAGAAATTTAAAAAAAATGAATCAAAGCATGACTTACTTCAATGATTTACCATCCAAGATAAACCCATGGACAGATTGAATGCAGCGTACAGCCTCCTCTTCTTTGGAATAAGTGATATATCTGGGTACAAGAGAAGTTATATCATCAGAAGGGGATAATGATGGAAGCAGAAAATAGCATATGCAGCGAAAAAACTCACACACTGCATGTATTGTTTGGAAATTGTTGGATGGCACCAGATGCTGTTCGAGACATGGAGACCTTTAAAACCTTTCCATACTGACCAAAGTACTCTTTACGTTGGAGAAGCTGAAAGAAAAATGGAACATTTGGAGTCACTAAGCAATCCAAGTAAGAAATAGCTAAAGGACTTGGATATACTTGCTCATACATCTTCATCCGCCAGATCAAGTAACAATCCAACAATGTAAACAAGATTTTTTTGAATCACTCGCACACTGGCTAGTTGCTTTCTCCCTTCAGAAGGTTTCGGCTTTGACTTTTGCATCTTTTTGCGGTCCATATTGGATTCAGAGGCCACTCTGGAAATAACAAACAGACAACAAACATCAGCAAAACAAAATAGAGAAGAAAAGGATAAACAACTACTAGGGGTATAAAAAATCAGTATGCTGTAAAGATTACACATTAAACAGCATATCACAACCTCTCACAATTTACGGTCATCCCTACAATCTTTTCTTTGTCATATTGAGTGCGACAAGCTGGACAGCGCCCTGCTGATTCACCTTTCTCTGCCATATCCATTATTTGATGCCAGCACCAAACACATATCTGTAAAAATTGCAAGCATATGGATATTAGACTACAAAGTATCAACAGACAAACAACAGAGTCTTTGAGGCCACCACAAGAAGTGTAAATTCTACTGAGAAAGAGGGATACTGATTGTCAGAGTTAATAACCAAATATTCAAATCGAAACAACTTTACATTGTGAAAATCCATACAGAGAAGCATGAAAATCTAAGAATATGGATTTTCCAGATCATCCAATCATATGCATCCTTTCTCGGGAAATTGCCAAACGTCAAGAGAAGGAGCATCTAACATCAGAAAGACCACTATCAATATCAAGGAAGACAATATCCACTGGGAACTTCGGAGTTGTTCAAAATTTCAATCATGAGAAATTCAAGAATGCACCTCCAAAAATTTCAAGGATCCAGAACTATATCACACACTTGCCATTTTATTTGGTATCTTATGCAATAAAAAATTTGATAAAAACAAGAAAGCCACTATAAATTAAACTAAGTGCTTACCCTGATTACGTGAGCAAAGAAATACAGCATCTAAAGATCACTATTTGAAAAATACTTTCAACAATTATCGATAATAAACTGGGCAGAAACATGGCATTCGCACTTAATGGAACATAAAACCAGATTTCAAGACCTGATAGCCACATTTGCAAGGCTTCAATTGCTGGTCAGTCAGATCCATCTCTTCAGCACACAGGGGACAAGTCTTCTCTCCTTGGTCACTCATGGTTGCGCTGCCTGAACAAAGCAAAAATCAAAAGAATAAGCAATGAGACACGTACACCAGAAAGACTTTGGCCAAACAGTGAGGCCCTTATTGTCAAAATTACAAGTAGAAAATCTCGCCATAGACCAAAAGAAGAAAAATCATTCGATAAAGAAAATCTAACCATGCTATGACCTCGACTTCTATTGCCAGACTTAGTTAAAATAAGTGAATTTGACTACTTCCCTGTCTAGCACTTCGTTTTCATTACCATCCGAGACCCACATTCACAATTTGAAGGTTCAGTGCCCCTATCCAGGTTACAATTATAAAAAAGAAAAAAGACTTACACTTTGGACCCTAAATTTAATCAATGTCAAGAAACAAAACTAGTCGGTAAATTCCCGACCAAAACCCTAGTGTATCTATCCACTCATCTCATCAGCATCCCCCGTGTCAAAAGAAGAGTAAAAAAAGTCAAAATTTCAGATCGATTCAGATAACCAGACGAACAAAAACAAAGAATGCAACCATGGTCAAGAACTCTGCGAAGTCAATCCGTGCATGCGCCATGAAAGCCCAGCACAAATGCGTCAACGGAGAAATAAACCAAAACCGACAAGCAAAAAACACAAGAAGAAGCAACAATCGCTAGAATCAGACGCAAATTCCACAATCTCCATCAGATTTCACGATCCCAATTACGATCACACGATCACAAGAAAACCACAACCAGAAAAATAAAGAACAGAGATTAGGATTTTGGGATTCTGCATAATCGAAACAAACTTGGCGAAAAGAGATTCACGATGAGGTAAACATACGATCTGAGGGAAGAAGATCGATGGAGATTGCAGTTGCAGATGGAGATTGAGATGAGGAGATTGAAGCTCGGGCGAGAGAGGGAGAGAACGGATGGCTGTGATTTTGGCCGCTGCCTTTTTTATTAACCCTTATTTTCTGCCAGATCCGCGTTGCTGTCGTGTTAAATAATAACAAGAGCTTCCCACGACTTCACCCTCAGATTCTTGACTTTATTACGATTCTGCCACTGTTTGGACCGGTTCGGTTCGATTTCCGGTTTGGGTTAGATTTATGCGACCAAAGCATCTAATTTAAAAAAAAAATTGTATCCACTTATAAATTAAATTAATTGAAGAATGGATTAGAAAACATTAGTAGTTGACAAGTATAAATGAACATTGAGTTAAATTTTATGAATCCCGTAACTTTGGATTATACGCATAATGAATAGTGTTTGAGAAAATAATTATAGATATTGTACGGTTAGACTAAAATTAATAGCTTCTCATCTTCTTATACTATTGGCTTTCTAAAAGCATGTTCTTGGAAAATGTCATATCAAGACGACAACAATTACAAATACAAGTTACTTATGCATGTAATTGGTTTCAGCATTTCGATTCCATATTCAAGAAGGGATTCCAATTAAAATTTAATTATATGAAAAATTAATTACATCTAAAAATAATATAATTATAAATCTTCTAAAAAATCAGAAAAGAACCCACAGACTTTATATGCCCAATACACTATACAAGTGTTTATTGGGCCTTTTGTGGGCCTACATTTAGTCGAAATAATTAACATTTTGGGCCTTTGTTTTTTGGGTAAAGCCTTTTTCATTATATTCCAATTTTCTGAACAAAAGTAACCTGTGGTGGATCCAATGACATTTATGAAAACCATAAATAGTAAAAAATATTCTAGAATAATTAGAGTCATATTAGATTTAATCATTATAAATATAATATTACGATAATTTTATAGAATATTATTGGTAGTAACAATAGTTGTTTATACATGTATTTATATTGGATAAAAGCTTTGTTGAATGCATAATTACAGTGCCATTATATTTATATTAAAGAACGCAATTGTTGTTTTGGGTTTTTGTTGCAAAGTCGTGGTAGAGAACAAGTGAAGAATTAAAGGACTTGGAAAACTTGCAAGAGTTTTCCACTTGGAAATTGTAAGAAGACCTCACAAGTCAAACTAAACCCTTTTCAAAGTCTATATTTATCTTATCAATTTTCTCTTTTTTTTAAAAAAAAATTAAATTGGAATGTTATAAAAATTATGTTATCGCTATTTATCTATTTTTTTTTTGCTTGGACTCACCCTCGTAATTGTTCCAAAATCAGACACAACCCTCCTCTGATATGTCTAATCCAATGATAATAAGTGATTTTTTTCAAATTTTTTTTTTATAATTCGAAAGTTTAGCAAATCTTTAAAATAACTACATCTTTTAAAAAATCGAACAATATGAATAAATATTCTTCCTCATGTCTAAATTTGAATCCAAATTTGAATCCGTAGTAAGAGAATGTTTTATATATTTTCTTATCACTATACCATCTAAATTTATATTTTTTTTACTAAATTTAACAATACAATTATGTAAAACAAACATGTATGAATATGAATTGGAAAAATGAAAAAAAAAAATTACACTATATCGATTTTCTGAAAGATTTTTACTTAATAAAGAAAACATTTTTAGCTTTTTAATTTTGATGAAATTATGATCAAGTCCACTGAACCCTAATCTTTATTTATTTAATTTAGTATTTAAGTATGCTTTTGAGGAAAAAAAAAGGGTAGTAAAGCGTATTAGGGTTATTAAATATACTACGAGTCTACCACTAGTTCATTGTATTCCATCATTCGTGTGTAAAAAGATTGACACTAGACAAAGCACCATTTATAAAGTATATGTTCTTCCATTTCATATGAATATAAAATATGATTTTCTTATTAATTTACAAAATATTTCTGTAATTAAACAAATGAAAATATCTGACATTTTTTTTTCTTTAATATATATATAAGATCTTATTTATTTTAAGATATTTTTAATATATTAAAAAATAACCAAGAGAGGGCGTTGAAAGAAGACCGTTGACAAGGTCCAAAGCGAACGAGAGCCGTCGATCCAAGGCGGCTCTAATCTCAGCCGTCCGATCGATCTTCCTCTCTCTCGTTTCCTTCTCCCCGTGTTTTCTCCTCTCCTTCTTCTTCGCAGCTACCGCGAAAACTCCTCTGCTCTGCTTAGCTGACTATATATGCCTCTGTATAGATTATACATATGTGTGTATCGTTCAAGACCGAGATTCACTACCATATAGCGAACGAGTGAGAGCTTGACCTAGCGCGTGACCTTCTCGTACGAACAGATCAGTGCGCAGATGGCGGGGTTTAACGCCGGTGGCCAGTTCTCGGATTTTCCGGCGATTCAGACTCACGACGGACGCTTTATACGGTATGATATATTCGGTAGTCTCTTCGAGATTACGTCGAAGTATCTTCCTCCTATCATACCCATCGGACGCGGCGCCTACGGGATCGTTTGGTATGTTTGATTTCTAATTTTGTTGATCCGGAGATTGGGTATGCTGAGTTTTTCAGGAATTTGAATTATGATTTTTTGGGCAATTTTTTCAGTTCTGTGTTGAATTCGGAGACGAACGAGCTGGTGGCGATGAAGAAGATTGCCAACGCGTTCGATAATCACATGGATGCGAAGCGTACGCTTCGCGAGATCAAGCTTCTTCGCCATTTGGATCATGAAAATGTGAGTTGATTTTCGGATACCATATCGATAAATGTTGCGATACAGAACGAAATAAGCAATATATAGGTGATTATATGTATGCGTACACGAAGATGAACAATTGGAAGTCCGATGAACAAAATGATTTTGCAAATATGTCTGTAAAAGTTTAGTTTTGTTATGGTTCTATTGTGGTTGAAGATTTGAAAAGAGCTTCCGAAGGCAGTTTTGTTTTTGCCTTCATAGTGTAAACCCTTAATCATGGATCATCATCATATTCTAACAAGGAGAATTTTGTGTGATTCAACAGGTTATAGCTATAAAAGATGTGGTTCCTCCACCCATTCGGAGAGAATTCTCAGATGTTTACATCGCTACCGAACTGATGGACACTGATCTTCATCAGATTATCAGGTCTAACCAAAGTTTGTCAGAGGAGCATTGCCAGGTATTGTTCTTGGTTTGGTGTTTTTGTTCTGAAGATTGTTTACACAAATTGAAACTCTGTCCATGGATTGTAATAACTGGATTCCCTTTCCTCTGTGTTCTACAGTACTTCTTGTACCAGATTCTTCGAGGGCTCAAGTATATTCATTCAGCAAATGTTATTCATAGAGATCTAAAGCCAAGCAATCTTCTTCTGAACGCAAATTGTGACTTAAAGATCTGTGATTTCGGTCTTGCCCGGCCAACATCAGAGAACGAGTTCATGACGGAGTATGTTGTTACGAGATGGTACAGAGCGCCAGAGCTTCTGTTGAACTCTTCCGACTACAGTGCTGCAATTGATGTGTGGTCTGTGGGTTGTATCTTCATGGAGCTTATGAACAGAAAGCCTTTGTTCCCAGGCAAAGACCATGTTCATCAAATGCGCCTATTGACAGAGGTAAGATAAAAATTTTACTTTTATATTTGTCCAAAGTTTATACTTAGATGATTGATCTACATGACACCATGTATATGTGTGGTCTGTGTGTTTACACCTACTTATTCACACCCAGTACTTTAGCTTTTAAGATTAGAATTTATAGATTCATTGGCTATTTTTGAATGTGGAAGAAAGTCCTGGGATGCAGCTATATCAATTTGCCTCAGTTTGGCCACTTTAAACAAATACTAAAATGTGATAAATGTATGTCTTGCAGTTACTTGGCACTCCGACAGAATCAGATCTCAGGTTTACCCACAACGAGGATGCAAAACGATACATTAGGCAACTGCCTTACCACCCGCGACAGCCGTTGGGAAGTCTTTTCCCTCATGTTCATCCAATGGCCATTGACCTGGTTGAAAGAATGTTAACATTTGATCCCACACGAAGAATAACTGGTAAGTTCTGTAGTCTTTTTCAACCAAATTTTACTCTAAAATGGTACCCATCTCTTTGAAAATGGATCCATCCTCCAAGTGGGGTTCTGTTTGCAGTCAACATTCTCTGCAAACTTTTCCAAGTTGACTGTGATTGAGCCTTATGATCACATATCAACTGATTTCGCCAAACATTCCCTTAAATTGTTTAAAAACAAAGAAGAGCTGCATATGTATAGTATCTTTCCCCTGAAATCAATGATGTCGGTCCTGTCCGTTCTGTTTCTCTGTTTGTTACTACTATCAATTTCAATTTACACAAACTGAAAGTATCTTCCTTTTGTATTTTTCCTGTGGCCAGTTGAAGAAGCTCTAAATCACCCATACCTCGCCAAGTTACATGACCCTGATGATGAGCCAATCTGCCTTAGGCCATTCTCTTTCGATTTCGAGCAACAACCTCTAGATGAGGAGCAGATAAAAGAGATGATCTACCGGGAGGCCATAACACTCAATCCTACATATGCTTAGAGGAGAATCAAACAGAGATTCAAAAGTTATCCAGCCTCAGCTTCTCATTTCGTAAATGCGGTATATAGCATCCAACTAGAAAAACCGCATAATTGTTGCTTGTTCTTTTATTTGTGCACCTGTATTATAGTTTTTATTTCTGAATCTTGTAATCCCATTTGTTTCTTCATGTAATTCATGTTTAACCATGGGATGTAGTTCGAAATCCCATGTGTCAGATTTCTTTCATATAAATGAAGTAGCATTTTCCAGTTCTTCCCTTATTCTGCACCCCTCTCAACTTTGATTCTCTTGCTCCCTTAGGCTGCTTAAGAACCATATCAGTGTACAACACCATGCATCATAAAGGTTAAAGTCTTTCATGAGCTGTTCATGTAGGCAAGTTCAACCCCGGACTTCAGAAAGAACCGAGCAATCTATCAGACCAGTATCGGAGTCTAAGTACTCTCTTTCAGGTAAGCTGTCAACTATCATTCAATCGATTTCGATTTCGATTTCGATATATATTTATATATCTGTGGAAGAAGATGGGATATTTTACCTTGCTGGTGGATCCTATTGTTGAATTTTCTGGTCAATCCTTCTGCAATTATTAATTCCGGTATTTGTTTATTATATCCTCTCTCGGACAAGATGAGTTGACTTCTTGGTTGTCTGATGGGAAGCTTTTGTCCTCACCCTGGGTGTTTGAAGGCGACAAAGATGGCTTAACCCACACAAACAAGAAACTCAAGTTTATTTGAATGTAGCTCGTGGGAACTGCTTCCCATGAAGAATAAGATGCTATTGACCCAAGAATATAAGATGATGACGCTTATCGTTATCATCATTGCTATATTTGCTCATATAGTTTAGCTTTCTTGGTTTCGTTGACTGTTGAGCTGACTTTACTGATTTCTTCATGGCGGGTTCAGTTTCTGGCGATGGTGAAGCCCAGAGATCGGAGGGTACTGGCCGCAGATATGGTGGCTGGATCACCTTTCCGTTCATAATGGGTGAGTGTGCCTATCAGTTTCTTTCTTCGTCTCTGTCCTTCATGACTACATAGTGGTAGAAGGCTTCACATGATCCATATATGGTTAACCATTGAGTTACTTTCCAGTGCTTGTATCGTATTTTGTGTTGATGATGGCGTTTTATATCGTGCAGTTACATTATTAGGCCTCACGGTTACTGCTTGGGGATGGTTATTGAACTTGATCGTCTTCTTGATAGAAGAATTTAACGTGAAGAGCATCGCTGCTGCTCAGATTTCTAACATTGTCAGTGGTTGTATCAGTATGTTTCCTGTCATTGGAGCCATTGTCGCTGACTCTTTCTTCGGCACTATTCCTGTTATCTCAATTTCTGCTCTCATTTCTCTGATGGTAAGTTGTACCCTTATATGCTTTATCGATTCTCTTCACATTCTGAATCAAAGATAACCAATTCGCCATTTCAGGGCGTCGTTCTTCTGACTCTTATTGCGTCCCTTGACTTCTTGAGACCTCAACCGTGCGAAACAACATCAAGCCTATGTGAATCCCCGACAAAACTCCAGTTTGGGATCCTATACGCTGCGTTAACTCTGGCATCCATCGGGACAGGTGGGACAAGATTCACCTTGGCAACAGCCGGAGCAAACCAGTATGATACACCTAAAGATCAAGGAAGCTTCTTCAACTGGTTTTTCTTCACAACATATCTAGGCGGTGCTATAAGTGCTATCGCTGTTGTTTATGCAGAAGACAATGTTAGCTGGAAATTCGGGTTTGGTCTCTGTGCTGCTGTGAATTTGGTAAGCTTGGTCATTTTCATGTCGGGAAGAAGATTCTACAGACACGACAAGCCTCTGGGGAGTCCCTTCACAAGCCTACTCCGTGTCGTAATTGCCGCCATACTGAAAAGAAAAGCTGTGAATTCTTTAAAAGAAGGAGACTATCACCACGAGGTTGGTGAAAAGGCCAAGACCGCAGTCACAATGCCCACAAAGAGTTTGAGGTATCAAACTCAGAAGTGAACTGAAACATCTTTCAAAAACTTTATCCATCCTCGAAACATTATATGAACAGAGGAACGCCTTGTGGAGGGCTATCAAGCAACTGTGTTTAATATGTACAGGTTCTTGAACTGTGCAGCCCTGAAGACGAGAAATGATATCAATCCAGATGGCTCAATTCGCAATCTGTGGAGAATATCCAGTGTTGAGCAGGTAGAAGATTTCAAAGCTGTGGTCCGAGTTCTTCCTCTGTGGTTAGCCACCATATTCCTCAGCACTCCCATCGCCACACAGCTTAGCTTGATAGTGCTGCAAGGTCTAGTGATGGACCGCAGGCTCAACCCGCACTTCAAAATCCCGGCAGGGTCTCTGCAGGTGATAACACTCATCTCCACTTGCGTATTTCTCACACTCAATGACCGGTGGCTCTTTCCTCTGTATAAGAAACTGATCGGCAGGTCTCTAACCCCGCTTCAACGAGTCGGGATTGGCCATGTGTTCAACATCCTAAGCATGGCGGTTTCCGCCATAGTTGAAGCCAAGAGACTGCAGATCGTACGAAATGGTCATCTACTGGTTTCATCTGTTGCTCCGATGTCAGTCTTGTGGCTGTTCCCTCCGCTTGTGATTGTCGGAATTGGTGAGTTTTGAAATAGAAAACTTCCTCAGAACAGGAATTGATGAATGTCAGTAATGGTGGATCATCCAATCTTGGATAAAAACTGAGAGATTAACGATGTTTTGCTTACAGGTGAAGCCTTTCATTTCCCCGGGAACGTAGCCTTATGCTACCAAGAATTCCCAGAGTCGCTGAAGAGCACGGCGACGTCAATGACATCCGTCGTGATCGGAATTTGCTTCTACGTGAGCACAGCTCTGATCGATCTCATCCAGAGAACCACCGAATGGTTACCAGACGACATTAACCATGGCAGAGTTGATAATGTCTACTGGGTTTTGGTCATTGGAGGAGTTCTCAATCTCTGCTATTTCCTCGTCTGTTCTTCGTTTTTCCATTACAGAAACCTCGGAGACGACGATCATGGACAAGACACTGTCTCTGGTTCTAACTAATACGCCGTGGGGAAAAAAAAAACATGTCACGGCCGAAAACAGAGCATTGTTCTTGTTTTCTTTGGCGTTTCTGTGAATCTGTAAATGTCGGATTTTAAACTGTCTTGGTCATGTTTTAAGTGAATAGTATTGTATAGTTCAAGGATATGGATCTTCGAGTTGTCCGTCAGATCCGTGTAACTCGGACTGTTCCGTTGTAACATCCATCACCCTCTTTCTCATTTCGAATGTACTTTCCATTTTGGTTTAGGTCGAAAAATCCCTCTCTCTCGCCCGTGAGGCCGTGACCACGGATGGACCACCGGGCCGGGGAAAATTTCCAGTGTGGCCGCATTCTCGTCGGTGACAATTAGCTACAACTTGACTTGGTTTTCTAGTTGGATTTGGAAACATCATCATCATCACCATCATCATCACCATCATCATCCTCGTCGTCGTCTGCAAGGCCATGAATCTTTGCTTCCACTGAAAACAGAACAATGTGGACGGACCCAATAAGGTCATCATCACCTGCAAGAATGCAGCACTTCTCAATTGTATGGCGAAATCTCTTCTCAGAGCCATGTGCATATTCATCATAAGGTTTTGAACACTTCTTCTGCAAGACTGCGACAAGTCTCGATTTTGGTTCCACCACCACCATCATGCATTCATCATCATAAGTTTTTCTTTTCTTTTCAAAATATCGCACATAATGAATCTGTTTAGTCTCTATATATAACAACAATGCGTATGGTAACGTATTAGACTTTGTATCTGTAGTCTCATATATATGATTTTAGTCGATATGAATCTAACAACTCTGCATAAAACATTACATGAAACATAAAACACACAAATCACCTTCAAGACCATCGCCATTATCACTGCAACATTCCCTTTTTTGCCGACAAAAGTGACAGGGCAACACGTGTAAAGAAATGGTATGCAAAGAGGCTAAGGCACTCATTGTATTTCATATTTTATGCTTAGAAGGGATGCAACGGAATACAAAATTCTTTATATTATAATGAACCTGATTCACATTGCATCCAAAAAATAAATAAACAACAGTTTCTGTAATCAGTGCAGAGAAAGCGTATAAAATGCTTTGGAAGAGAATGAATCTAACGAAGCTTTATATCTTTAGTCAATTAATATATGGTTCTGGAGGTCGCTAACGCTTATAGTTTTTCTTTAATGAAATCGGACCCTTCGTTCCAATTTTTTTTTTTTGGAGAGAATTTATTCCCAACAAACATTTTTTTTATTAGGGCAGAAGGGTATCGGATACGTGATTTGTTTAGTAATTTTTTTTTTTTGCATGACGGAGTCAACGTTTTCCGCATGAAGCAAGATCATCATGATTTACATTGCTATAAATATATAGTCATATACAGTTTGAACATTCCTCAAGTGAAACAAGTTTTTGTTTTATTTTCTCTTCTCTGTCATGGCTGCTGCTTCAGTTTCCGGTGATGAAGAAGCTCATATACATGGGAATTCCGGCCTCAAACGCGGCGGATGGATCACCTTTCCGTTCATGGCGGGTAATACATTTCTGTTTTTCTCTCTCTCTCTCTCAAGTTTATAACCAGTTTTCAACCGGTTTATGTAGATTGTTGGTGTTATTATTGATAATAAATAGATTTTACGTCAATTGTTGATACAATTATTGATAATAAAAAAGAGTTTAAACAGACAATATAGTTTTTTTTCAAAGGATAAAACCACACCAAATCAGAAATAAATTAATATGTAAAATATTTCCTTTGCAAATGCATACTTAGCAACATGCGTACCATTGAACGATTTTCATATCTCGACGCCAAAACTTGTCTCAAGAACTAATAAATATGTAAACTCTAAAATTATGATCACTCTTCATCATTAATAGGTTGACAAATTGTGTTCTCTTTCCCCTGCAGCGACGTTGTTAGGGCTGACGATAACTTCTTTCGGATGGTTAGTGAACTTGATCATCTTCCTGATCAATGAATTCAACATAAAGTCCATTGCCGCTGCTAAGATTTCAAGCGTCGTCAATGGCTGCCTCTGTATGTTCCCTGTCGTTGCAGCCATTGTTTCCGACTCTTTCTTCGGAACCATTCCCGTCATCTCCTCCTCCGCTTTCATTTCTCTTGCGGTATATGCCTTAGCCTTACCCTCCTTTTTTTTCTCTAATGTTTTGTTTCTGAATGAATCCTTCTGATTCTGACACAATGATCACCAAATTTGCTGTTTCATTCAGGGCATTGTTCTTCTAACTTTGACAGCATCAATCCATTCCTTGAGGCCTAGACCGTGCGAAAATACCTCGAGTTTATGCCAATCGCCCTCGAGACTCCAGCTCGGGATCCTATTCACAGCACTAAGTCTGACGTCCATCGGAACAGGAGGAACGAGGTTCACTTTAGCGGCTGCCGGGGCAAACCAGTATAGCAAGCCTAAAGATCAAAGAAGCTTCTTCAACTGGTTCTTCTTCACCATGTATCTAGGCGCTGTCATTGGCGCTACAGCCGTTGTCTATGTGGAAGACAACATTAGCTGGAGATTCGGGTTTGGTCTCTGTGTGGCAGCTAATCTGATAAGCTTCGTCGTTTTCATCTCGGGAAAGAGATTCTACAAGAATGATAAGCCTTTGGGAAGTCCCTACGCAAGCCTTTTGCGGGTCATCGTTGCTGCTACACTGAAAAGACAAGCTGCGATTTCTTCCAAAGAGGAAGATTATCACCACGAAGGCGGCGAAAAGGCAATGCCCTCAAAGAGTTTCAGGTACTAACCTCTTTCAGGTTAATCTGCTTCTGTTCTTCGGATTTAGCCTGAACTGAAACACCTTTCAACTCTTCATTTTGTCCAAAACAATGCTCCAAGAATTGTGCAGAACATAAAAGTGATTACATGTGCAGGTTCTTGAACCGAGCAGCAATGAAAGCAGGAGGAGACATCGAACCGGATGGCTCAGTGTGTAAACCCTGGAGGATAGCCACGGTTCAGC